GTAAAAAGATACTATCATAGAGTATTAGGAAGTAAAATGAAAATTTTTCTGACCCAAAGGGTGCCAAAGAATAGCCTGAAATAGATAGTTTAATATTATGAAATAAATTATTTGAAAAGTATATCAACTTTCACTTTTAAGTTTTACTGTGGCTTTTTAATGCTTTTCATTGGTAATAATGCTTTTTTTAAAAAAACATGAATCAATTGTCTTGTGTTCAGTTGTACTCAAGCATAGTTTCTTAATCTGAGCTCTATTGATTATTTTAGGCTGGATAATTCTTTATTGTGGGGTCTATTTTGTACATTGAATTTGTCTAGAGCATCTTCGACCTCTACCACTGGGTGCAAATTGCAACCCACTAGTCATGACCGTGGAAAATGTCTCTTGTCCTTGTCACATTTGTCTTGGTGATGAATATCACTTTCAGTTGATAACAATTGTGTCACTGTGGAATAGGCAATACCACTTTTCAGATTTTAAATTTTAGATAATCTAAGCCGTATGTAAAATCAAAGCCAAAAAACAAACAGTCCATGAACAGTAGGAATTTGAAACCAAAAAACACACTTGTTTGAGCAGGTGTCCATAAGTTTTCACTGTGTGACTTTTGCATAACCTTTCTATGGTTTATTGTTTCTTCTGAAAAGAAAGGTAATACTAGTATCACTCTCAAAATGCCACTGTAAAAGTTAAATGGGATACTATATAAAAGTGGTTAGCATTTATTGGCATTCAAAAAGTGCCTATAAATATGGCTCTTTGTTATAATGGTAGTAATTTGAATAATATATACCAATTTATATGTCAATGAAATGCTGTATGGAAATATATAGTAAGCATTACTGCCATTTCTCTTGCTTTGCTTATTTTGCTGCATCATATTTAGCATTGTTAGGCAGAAATCATTTTTGGAATCTAGTTCCTTAAAAGCCAGCTATAAAGAATAACTATTTTTTTTTTGCTATAAAGAACCTCTACTCAAAGACTTACTGAAGTTATATGCTATGTTTTAAGTAAATCTTAATAAATATCTATTTCTCTTTTTTCTGTCATGTATCTATTTCATTTGTGATCTGTGGTTAAGGGTATAGGGTTTGTTGCACAAAATTAGTAAATTTCTGGAGATCCAATGTACAGCATGGTGAGGACGGTTAGCAATACTGTATTGTGTGTATGTCATTTTCTAAGAAGAAAGATTTAAAATGAAATGCACAACACAAACACAAAATGCTACAATGGTAACTTTGTAGAGTTAATGGATAAGTAGATTAACCTGACTGTGGTAATCATTTCACAATATGCACATATATCAAAACATTGTTTTACATTTTAATAGATACTTTTCACAAATCAATGATATCTCAGTAAAAAGTGTTAAAAATAGAAAGGTGTATTTGACAGTATGCATAATATTGAGGTTTTTCAAGCAGTCATATAGAACCTGCAATGCATGGTGAGGCCTTGTACCTGAATAAGTCTACAGAAAACATTCAAGTTTAATACAAATTTAATTAAAACTTAAAAAGATACAATAATGCATCATTTCATTGTTTGAAGTTTTCAGGAGGAAATGAAATTCAGAGCTTGTAAATGATTCAGTATCCTCTGTCATAAACAAGACATGGATAGAAGAGTCACGTATTTGTAGAAGAATTAACAGCAAGTGTAAGGTGCTTCTTTTGTGCTGTTACAAATTGGATTTTTTTTTTTCTTTGCCTGGAGAAGCCAGACTTAACAACAGACTACTCTTAAAGAGAGAATTGCTGAACACCAAGGCCATGTTTTTGAAAACTAACTATAAAAAGAATAGAGATGTATGCTTGGCATTTTGAATCAGTTATCAGTGAATTCCTGTTATGCCATTCAGAATAGAGGCCCTAAAGTCAAGGTCTATTCTTCATATATTCACTGCTTTTAGCAGTCTTGGCCTTGGACATCTATGAAAGATTTAATTATCGCAAAATATAATTTTGTAGCAGATAAAGATCTTCATTTTATTAAAGTTGACAGAAAATGAGGACTAATTTTACTCTAAAGTAGTGATAATATCCTTAGTTGTGTGCTTAGTAATTATTAGTAGATTCAAATTTGTATCAGCATTGGTCAGTCTTCTATATTAAAAAAGTGTACTCATATACATTCAGTACATGCAAGAAATTGGAAGTTTGTGTAAATGTAAAACATTACTATTTAGGGTGGGAAGGAAAAAGAGGCAGTTCTGAATAAAATATATACAATATATGACTAAGAATATAAATTATAATATACTTTTAAATAATGCTAAACAATTAGAGAAAAACAGTCAGAAATATAATGGATAAAGTATATATGTCCAAATACAAGATGTTTTATTGGTAGTCAAAAAATATTTGAAGTTGTTTTAAAAAGATCATTTATTTTGGCTACTGATTTGTATTGATGTTTCTGCAGCGAAAGTCCTTTGAATTTTGCTCTGGGTATTCAAATAAAGATTGTGGCTTATAGAATAGTAATTGCACTCTCAAATCTTTACACTATGCACTGATAAATGAAACCTTTGTAAATAATCTGTTGAACATTAAGTCAGAGTTCTGTAAATATTTTTTGAGTATGCAGTCTTTATGTTACTGGATAATACAGTTTCATAATTCAGAGTAATATTTGCTGAAAATAAGTAATTTTCTGGGGGAATTTGGTTTTGTTCAGTTTTTCCATCATGGAAGAAATATGTATCGTACATTTTATTTTAAGAGTTATAGTGTCAGGAAAATAAAGATTAAAAATACTTGCTGAAGAGAAAGGCCATATCTGCCTTGTATTTTGATTTCGGGTTTTTGACAATCAAATAAAGACTGTGGCTAATAGGATGATGATTACACCCAGAAGTCTTTATAATCATACACCGACAAATAGAAGCGTCTGTATCTTTACACCCAGCTTCACACTCAGTGTCACCAAGTTTGCAGCTTGCTGGTGCAATAGGTGCATATGTGTGTGTGTGTGTGTGTGTGTGTGTGTGTGTGTGTATATTCTTTCACTTTAAGTAAACTTTAAAATTAATTCCTGGTCTGTACATAAAAACTGGGAATTTTAAAACATTGACATGATGATAAAAATATTTCAGAGCTTGGTGTTTATACTCAGTACACAACAGTATATGATTTCCCAATACTTATTAGTTGTTAAGATGCCAATGAAAATTAAGAAAAATTTAGCATCTTTGAAACAAATAAAACTTTATTAAAAAATAATTAGATGTCAATTGTTGCTTGACGTGAATTAAAGAGTCATGGAAATTGAAGAGATAGAATAGATTGGAGATTAATGAAGTGTAACTGGATCATAAATAAACATCATTATTTGTTCAGTAGAATATTACTTTAAAAGTCATGAATGTTTAAAGGAAAGTACAATGTCCCTCTTTTTTCAGTTGATGTTTTGTATATAAGTGTAAATATTCATGAATGGCGAGTATCAGTCCAGTTTATCTGTGTGACTAAATTTTCATATATCTGGCCACTTAGTGTTCATTGGATCATGCTTTTGAATATGAATTCTCCACTATCGCAAATGTACTGTGGATCTGACCCAGATCATGAATATTCACACACACGCAACTGATCTTTCTGAAAGTAATCGCATCCATAAAGATGAAGATCTTGTTCCTTCTCATTACCGGGTTGCCCAGCCCAGAACAGCTTTACAATCCTTTTATTTTTGCTTTCCTTTTTTTTTTTTTAGTAGATGATACAAAGTTTAAAATGATGCTTTGAATCTTTCTTGTTGGAAGTTCTTTTTTTCTTTTAACTTTGTAGAAGCTTGTGCACAATTTAGCTATGATTGTATTTGCTTGGTTTGTTTGCTGTGGTCACAGAAAAGAAGAAGGTAGAGCAGTATCTCCAGTTTTTACCTAGCACATTTCTGCTGGTTTGCCTTGATGGGAGATGCTCACATGCACTGTACTCATGTGCTGATATGCTGGAAGCATGATGTATATTTTGCACATAAAGAAAAAATGCATGAAGTTATCTATACCTGTTGTGTACAGGAATACTATATTGAGTGCCAATTACTCTTTTAATGTGTTAGATGTATAATGCTCTGAATATGGAAGCCCATACTAATAACTGTGTACTATTTTACCTCACGTTACATTCCATGTTATAATGGTTCCTCTTTCATGGTGTGAATGACATATATTTGGAAAACCTAGTCAAGATCAGTCAGTAGTTATAAACACATATCAAAGTCAATCACCTGGCTTCTATTAACACATACTCTAGTTATTGATTGAATAACTAGGAAAACAAAACTGAAGTCAAAGCTATTGATCATAAAGATAATGATAAAGTATCAACTAGTTCCTGTTTTCTAACACTGATATTGTCAGGCATCTGAGTAACTTTTTCAACTATATTTTTGTTGTGAAAACACAATTCATAAGCTGAGGTCAATGACAAACTTTTATTTATTTAACTCTAGTTAAATTTATGTTAGTATACCACAGAGAATGATCAGTAGTTGAGGGCTGTCATCTTTAAGCTCCATACTAAGGTGTCTGTGGGCTTCCTTAGAACTGTCTCAGAGGATAAGCTGGGATATCACTCAACCGTCCTTCTGTTTTATGTCTCAGGATGGCTCATGGTCGTTTGCAACTGGAAGTGATTTTGCCCCCAGGACAAAATCTGGAGACATAGTCTGAAGCCATCTTTGTTTATCACACGTGGTGGACTAGTATTGCTATCTAGTCCTGAGCAATTAGAAATGTTACTAAATCCTACAATGCATAGTTTAGCAAAGAATTGCTCAGTCCAAAATGTCAATAGGCTACCACCACGTAAGATTTGGCTTGAAGAAATAATTCTATGTCTAAAAGTTTTCAAAAACGATGAAATTAGAATGTTTTTCTAGATATAGAGCAATGAAAATGTGTAATATTATTTTGTAAATAAATGAAGTTAGATTCAATTTTTAAATTATAAGATTTTAATGAATTGATTTTTTTTCTCTTTTGTTAGCGACAATAGTGTTAAATGAACTCAACTGGACAAGTGCCTTAGATGAAGTTTTCAAAAAAAACCGAGATGAAGACCCTACATTGCTGTGGCAGGTGTTTGGCAGTGCCACTGGCCTGGCCCGGTATTATCCAGGTGAGTGCTTGGATTATTGTTTATTGATAATTCAGTAATTATTATCAGAAAAAAATTTAAGTGGAAGCTTCATTGTTTGTTGTGAACTTTGAATCTCCTCCAATTTTAACAATTGTTTTATTGAAAACACTTTAAATGAAATGTCTATTGATATTTTTAACTTCTCCACCATTTGAACAAACTGATAAACACATAATGCATTTTCTTTCTCAAAGGCATGACCTGAATTATCAGATACATGCTAGGCAATTTGACTTTCAGTGGCCACAATATGCCTTTAAATGAGAATTCTTTTTTGATACTTGGGTTTTCTAAATATGTTAAACTGATTTAATTAAAAAGCAAAATGTCACAGAAATAAAAAGCAGTGAAATAAAGGCTAATATCTAGCTTTGTATCATATAGCAACAAATAAAATATCTTGGTTCATCAGAATGAATAGTACTCTAATTGGGTAAAAACTTTGTAACTTCTGTGTGGTTGCAAATGCCAGATGGTAACATCAGTAATTATTTTTTGCAGAAATCCTGTGCAGTAGGAAAGGCCAAGTTTGTATTAAATATTGAGAAAATAATAAAACACTAATTGTAATATTTGCCATCAGAAAAAAATGATCACATAGGTTGTTATCTGAATAGTGGAATTTTTCCCTTATAGAAATAATTTTCATTATAATGGAACATTTCTAAAACTCTTGTCATTTTGTTAAAACATTAAGTAATATGTATCAGGAGATACAAAATTTTAGTATATAAGGTAATAAAAAATGCAATACTCTTCGTGGACATAATAAACTGGACATAGCAAGCCTTAAAATTACATCTGCCCTTATAAAATATTTTCAAGTACAATTTTAAGATATAGAATTTAGATACCTGATATTCTATCCAGTAATATACAAATATAAGAATACATTTATTGGTAACTAATAGCACTATGTAGATTTCAATCTTTAAAAATACTACTTTAGTACAAAAATTCCACATATAAAAAGTTAAGGGAAAGGAGGAACAGGATAAGTGAGAGAAAATTAGCATAATAATGAGAAATTGAGTCCAGGACCATAGAGAAATGATGATGCAGAGACAGGCAAAGAAGTGTTTTAAGAAAGAAACAGGGTGAGGAGAGGAAGAGAAGTGTGCATATGAAAGAGAAATAAGGTAAGACACCCAAAAAACTAGATAGGATTTGTTGCCCTCGATGCAGAGAAATTAATGCAGATACTTTAAAGCCACAGAGGCCAATGGGAGAAGGGGACCAGGAACTAGACAAAAGGTTAGTTCAAGAAGAATTAATTTAGAAGGTAACACGCATGTACAGGAAAGCAATGCAAGTCAACTCCCTGTATAGCTATCCTTATCTCAACTAGCAAAATCCCTTGGTCCTTCCTATTATTGCTTATACTCTCTCTTCAACAAAATTAGAGAAAAGGGCAAAATAGTTTCTGCCTGGTAGCGAGGGGGTGGTGGGGAGAGGGAGAGAGAGAGGGTGGAGGGGTAAGGGAGGGGACATGGGGGGTGGGGAAGGGGTAGAAATGACCCAAACATTGTATGCACATATGAATAAAAGAAAACAAAAATAATAAAACAACAATGGTTACCAAAAAAAAGAGAGAGGGAAATAAGATGGGGATCCAGAGGTGGAAGACTTTTCAGTGATGCTTATTTTTATAAATAGCAGTTTACTTTTTAACTCATAAATCATGTTCTATAATTCTTTTAAATATTAAGTGAGAGATTATAACTTTAATTTTTTTCAACCATAACCCGATATTTTCAAATGTATTGCCATTTTTTCACTTCATCATGGAAAAGATCTACAGATGCTTAATTCAGCTGAATACATATGGTCCTCTCAGAACATGGAAGCAAGCTTGTGCCCAACCATAAGACCTCATTTTGAGTAAAGGATGTGGCAGATAAACTGACTCACCAGAAGACTGTCAGGCTGAATTCACTCACCTGTTTAGGAAGCTCTTTAAATTGGTCCTCTTGACTGCAAGAATATATTTCATGCAATTTCTGTTTTTGTGATTCTGTTGCTATGCTGGTATTTACTATAGTAATGATGTAAATAGAACCAAGTGTTCTTAGTAAAGTCATTAAGACATGTTATCATTTCAAAAACGGAAAATATGTTTTTGTTTATGCTAAGGCACATTTTCAACATTTAACATTTTAAACAAGTCTAAAAGTTTTTAGATGAAGTAATTTAAAAAAAATTCTCAATAGACCATCTTACCTCTCTAATTTTCCCATTTTGATGCAAACTAAACTAACATAGAGGAACTCATCCTTGTTTCCTTTCTATTAAATCAAAGATTAAAAAGTCTTTAAATGCCACGTATTAATGAACAGAAACAGAATACTAAACATGCTATTTTACTTAATTGGATTTTCGCATATCAGATTTAGCCTTCTTGTGAGGATCTCATTTCTAGCATGGAGACCTCATGTGAGTCTCTTGAACTTTCTGCATCCTACTCATCAAATCTGAAAAGAGAGGAACACTAATAATTCATTAGTTTCACCTCTGAGTGTGATTGTGATCAGTAAGATAGCATGATGAAAGTTGTTTGAAAGTACAAAACAGAAGGTATTTCTGCAACAGTATATATCAACTAGAATAACTCATCTACATTTTGCATTCACTTGATCTAAGACAATGAAGAACACACATGAGGTTACAGTCAGTTGACCAGGAAGCTGAACTAGAAACATGGAAGGAGATATAAACATGGCTAAGAAATAATACTAGGCATTGATGCCACATGGTAGGGTTGGCTTATAACCTTACTTAGGTCATTTCTATGTAAGGTTGCCAGAAAAAAATAAAGCATGTCTAGTTAAATTGGAATCTCAGATAAACAATGAAGAAGTATTTAGTATAAATTTATCTTGTGCAATACTTGGGATGAATGTTTGCTTCTAAAGAGGTATTTGTTTTGTATTAAAATTCAGATTTAAATGGTTGTCCTGTATTTCTTTTTGAGTATCTGCCAACACTCTCTCAAGTTCTCTGTGTCTACATTTTTAACATGGGAATGTAACCTTCCCATTACTATACAAAATTGTGGTTTTGATCAAGCATTCATCCAAATGTAGGCTTTAATCTTTTTCTTTCCCTAATTCTGTAAACTACCTATTTTTATTTTATTTTCCCAAGAAAATTCATGCCACAGAATTGCTAAAAATAAAATGTTTTGAGGAAACTAGAATTCTCTGATTCACAACAGAGTCTAAAAAATATTCTAGTTTATTGTTAAGAGGCTGCTTTTATGTGTTGGAACCAGATGGCCAGAATAAAAATCTCACCTCCAACACCTCTTGAGTGATGACTTTTAGAAAGCCTCCCTGACCTCAGCTGATTTAACAAGAAGGATTACCATGGTTAAATTGTAGAATTGTTAAGAAAATAAACAGAACTAAATATATTTCTAACATTCTCCAGATGTATGGGAAAGTCAGGGAGGGTTGGCCACCCACATGATTTTCATTAATCAGGTTATTTAAAATAGAAGGAAATACTGCCTTTCAATAAGGAAGTCTCTAGGGCTGACATGATATAAAGGCACTTTGATAGTTAGTGGAAATTTGAATTTCCTATCCTTCAGTCCTGAGTTCTTTCCTTTTATGCTCTTAATTGATTTGTATGAATTAACTTTAAAGCTATTAAAAGTGCCTTCATAGCTGTCAACTGTCTGAATTCTTAGGTATTGTATTGTAAGAAACTATAGGTACAGATTATCCCACCCATTAGTTTCTCCTGAAATTGTAAGAATTACTGTAGTAATTAGAATTGTTAATTAGAGGAGGGAAGGGGGGGAGGGGGGGAGGGGAGCAGGGTGGAGAAATGACCCAAACAATGTATGCACATGTGAATAAATAAACAAAAAAAAATTAAAAATAAAATAAATATGTCCTCAAAAAAAAAGAATTGTTAATTAGGAATCAGTGGCTCCTTGGAATGCCAATGTAAGCAGCACTTACTCTTTTTAGATAATTAATTGTATTCATAATCACAAAGAAAAAAAAGCAAAACTATTTTCTATGATATTTACTGTTTTATTAATCATTTTTCTTCCTCTACCCTAACCATTTGTTCATTGCAAAACCATGGATTTCAAAAAGAGACCTAGTATATGTTACAATAATGTTAACTAGATGTCTGGAGACATTTCCTTGTATCTATCTGCTAGAATTCTGCTGGAATAAAATGCAGTAGAACCTGTGTACAAATATATGGAGTGATACTTGTTTTCTATATGGGTAGCCAATTCTTAAATTGTGTAACTCTTTGTAAAATATAAGTTAAGAATGTTTTAAATGGCAAGTGGCAAATAGCTTATAACAAAAAATTCCACAGAATACTTTTTAGTTTAATCATTAAAGAGTCATTTGGTAGATGGAATAATAGTAGAGCCTCAACATTTATGGAATTTCTAAAAATAGTGTTATTAATGATACATTCTCTTAAAAAATGCCTGATTTTTTATTTGGATATTTGTGAATGAACACATGCTTCAACTATAAATACATTTAGCACCTTATCTGTATAAACATCTTTGAATTGAAGTAATTACTACTTTTTATGCAAATTCTTATTAAAATCCAATGTGTCTGTTAGAACTGTTTTTACTTACCAGTTATAGAAAATCCCAAATTATGATTGTAACATTATGGAAGTTGACTTTTTACTCAAGTGAACCAGTGATGCATAGACTGGGACTGATAGGGACGCTTCCCAGAAAGGAGACCACAATCCATTTCATTTCTCTGTCATCTTCTGAGTAAGGCTTCTGCCTCAAGGCTCAGCCATTGTTATTTGTACTCTTTCTTAAAGGACAAAGAACTGCCTCTTCCTTTTCTAAGGGAATAACCAAAGTCACACAAAAGCATTTCTTATGTGACATTGGGTAGAATTTAGTGTGTCCATGGTCACAGTTTCCTTTAATGTGACAATGGATCCAGTTAAAAAGCAGAGAGGAGAGGAGATATTGG